ACTTTATATAGAGATTATTTTAAATTTCAAAAAATTAATTATTGTCTTTATTTATTTTAAGTAAAAAAATTTACTAATAAAATTATCTAACTTATTAATAACTTTATAATTTTTCTTATACATATTACTCAAATAAAATATTATTTTTATATAAAAAATTTTATTATCCCTTCAAGTGTCTTGCAGGCAAATTTGCCTGCAATTTTATTTAATAATTAAAATTATTTATAATAATTTTAAATAATTTTAAAATAATTTATTTAAAAATTAATATTTTTATAATAAATTTTATGATATTTTCTAAGTAAAATTCAAAAAAAAAAATGTAATTAATTAGTGATATTTTAAAGATAAATATATGATAAATTATTATAAAAAAAGTTAAAATTTTAAATTTATATATCTTGTTATCTATTGATCTTAGAAATATAAAAATATAATCATTTAATAGGTCTTAATAAAACAAATCCAACAAATTAAATTTTATTTTCTTGTAATTATTAGATATTAAATTATTATAAAAATTGAAAAATTGAAAAATTAATATTTAGGACCTCCTTAGCAAAAAGTGGGAATCAACCAATTACGTGATTTTGAGAAAATTACAATTTAATTATGTGAGCGATTTTTTCAGAAAATTTGATATTTCTCAAAAACAGTCTTTATAACCTAGAACGAAATTTCATAGACAATTTCTTAAGAGTATTAGCTCTTCTTTATTTTTTTTATTTTTATTATATCATGAAATACATAACTGTATAGCCTCATAAATTTATTAAAAAATAATAAATTTTTTTTATTAAATACAATTTTATTTATTTAAAATTTTATTGTCTGAAATACAAAAAAAAACTTAAAAATAGATTTACTTTATCTCATAATACTATAAAATTTGAAATTTACCTTAAAATTTCTAATTTAATTAGTATTAAATTCAGTTAACTTAGAACATATAATATCATAATAAGGTAAATCAATGTAAAATGCAATTTTTTTATATAACACTTCTTGTTTTTTTAAAGAAAGTGGTTTTAACACTAATTTTAGAAGGTAAAATACTGGAAAAGAGCAAACTGTAAGTATTTTATAATCATTTTCAAGCCTATCTTTATAAAAATAACTTTGAAGTAAAGTAAAAATAATGATTCTTTTGAATATTAGGTAATTTTTGAATTTTTGAAAATAATCATTAAAATTATAATACTAAAATCCTTTCCCATCCAAATAGTATTAAAAAGTATTAAGGTAAACTGTAGTAAACTGATTGATAACTAAAACTACATTATTCGCAGTATTTACTTTACTTTTTTGATAAAGAATTTTGATTAAACCAAAATAACTATCACAAATGAACTTTGTGTGTTCAGGTATCATAAAATTTAATTCAATTTCATCATACATATCATAATTAACTAATTATAAATAAATAATAAAAAATAATTATTCTTGTTCTGACTTACACAATTATCACAAGTTATAACTAATATTTTCCCCCTATATTTACAAATAATATGTTAAACTAAACTTAATATACTATTAATACCCTTTTTTTGTTTATCATTATTAGGCATTTCAGCTTTATTAATTATGTAATTTATTTATTTTATATGAGAAATTACTAATATTGCAAACTCTAAATAAATGTACTTTACGCAGACTTTTAAAAAATATTAATTCTATTTATAGTGATAAGTAAGGAACTTATATATTTGAGTCTAATCATATATAATATGAACATTATCATTAAAGGTTTTAAATATTATTTGAGATTTAAATTTAGTTTTATTTAGATTACGTTTGCTATCTTTGACTATATATATAATATTAGAATAATAGTATTCATGTTCTAATTTTGCATGATTTAAGTAAGTCAAATATTTTTCTATTATTATTAATTTTTTTTATGATTTATAATATACTAAATATTCAATTTTAATTTTTCACAAGTTTCACATAAATCAGACTTTAGAGACATAAATTAAAGTAATAAAATTAATAATTTTCAAATCCTAACTAATGATATTTCAGAAATAATACGAATTTTACTTCCATATTCATTATTAAATGCTTATATATAATTATGATATATAGATAAATAACTATAATTAGTTAGAAGAAATATAATAGAAAAAAAACTTTATTAAAATGTCACCCAGGTGATGAAATACCATGTATATTAGAATAATTTTAAAAAAATTCATATATTTCACATAATATATTATAATTTATTTCAACTCTATTTATATTTTTTGGTAGTTTACCAGTATTGCTATGTATAAATTCTTCAAGACTATATTCCTTTAAATTTTTATTATAGTATTTATATATTTATGACTAATTTTAGCAAGTGCTTCATATATGATATGACAAATTGAAATATCATTATTATAATAATAATTAAAATGTAAATATTTTCTATTTTTTGTGATAAATTTTTGTATTTTCATTCTTTTAAAAAACTAAAAATTGCTTCTTAATAACCATATTCTGCATTTTCTTATTTAAACTTTCAAATTCACTCTATGTTCAAGAAATTTTCATAACAAATTTTTTTATAATATTTAAGGTTGTATGAACATTTTCCATTTTTTAAAAAACTCCTTGATCTTTAGCTTTAAATTATTATAAATCTTATCTTTAATATAATTGTTAAAATTTTCTATAAATTCAAAATTATTTAAATTTATTTAATCTAAATTTTCAAAATTTTCATTATCAGATATAACTAATACATTTTCTTCATCCTCTGATAAGTTTTTTTCACTTTTAAAACTTGAATCTTCAATAAAAAAATATTATTAAGTTCTTTTAAAGCAGATAAAATAGTTTTCTTTGCATTTTTATTTTTAAAATAAAAGTCATATTTCATTTTATTTAATTAAATATTAGTAGTAATAAAATAGACTTTTTAACATATTTCAATCAAATAGATCCAGATTACTTTCCTAAATATCAAAAAATATATTTATAGTATAAACTTATTGTAAATATATACATATCCTTAAGGAAATCAATTTGCTTTCCTAATTATTATTCGCTCTGTAAATGTTTACTTCCTTTATACAATGCAGAACCTTTATAATAGGAAGTTAGAAAATTATAAATAAATTTGAACTAGTAATCAGATTTCAATTAAATAAAAAAAATTAAATTTATTTGTAAAAAGAAATTGGTTTAAAAATTTTTTAAAATTCTCAATTTTATTAGATTATGTAATCATCACGTGATTATAATATTAGCCAATCAAAAGTTAAAATTCAATATATTATATAAATTATTTATTTTATTTCATCATAAATGCTATCAGGTACATGACGATAAGATTTATATTTTTTAGCAACAAATTCTACCATTTTTCTAGTAATACCTTTTCTATAAATATCCATATACCACTATGATTTTTGTGTATATTTACGAATTGTAATTAAAGGAACTGAATCTAAAGCTTTAAGAACCGTTTGTTGTAATACTATCTATATATAATTATAATATTCTCTTGTGTATCTCTTTGCCGCATCTCAATACATTTCTATATAATTTAACTTACAATGATATTTAGGGTAAAAAATGTATTTATGATCATGCTTTTCAATTTCTTCTTGAAGTTAAGATTTTTGTTCTAAGAAATCTGGCTGTAATGATAAAATTTGACATGCACAATAATCTACTCTATTCATATCTATAACTTTTGTTTTTTCTTTATATAGTTGATAATCAACCAATGAATTATTTTTCCATAAACCTCTTTCAATTAATATTTGTTTCATACTTTTTGGTTGATTTGGATATTTTAAATGATCATGTGGAAAAACTATAGATTGAAAAGTTTGATTTGGTTTATAATAAGTTGAACGCATATATGGTTGTTTTCCTCCTGGATTCATATTCATTTTAAAAGCATTTAATCCATATTTTACCATTATACCATGATTGGTATTATTATCAAATGCAAAAACAGCTATTGCATTAGGATATAATGTTTCAAAGATTGGAATCGCTAAATTTATTACTTAATCTAAAGATGATCTGCAGTTCACCAACCCTCATTATTTTTATCCAGATGTAAATATTTTCTTGCTTCTTTAGAAATATTTGGATAATTTGTAATAAGTTCATTGATAAGTTTAAGTTATCCAATAGTTTCCAATAAAAATTCACTAACCATTATAGATTTGCCTTAACCTTTCTTTCTAAGTAGTGATTCGCCTAATGGAACCCAAATAATTGGATAATCATCATTAGTATAAAAAAGGCATTCATCATATATTACTAAAATATGTAACTATTCTTTATTTTTAAGTTTTGGAAGAATCATTTGCATTTCATCACCAATAAATGTTAGCATTAGTTTTTCAAATTCTGTCATAATTTTTAAAAATTGTTTCTGATATTGTAATATATCTTCACATTCATATCTATCAAAATATACACCTTTTTTCAAGATTGAGAAATTAAACTAACTTATGAAGCCATATTTTTGCTGTTTTTATTGATATTGATCTTATAATACCCATTTGAGGAAAAAGTTTTGATATTATAAATTCTTTATACTGTTATAATGTTACTCTTCCACTATTGAAATGAATATATGTCAAACTACAATTAATAATATCCTTATCATCAATAAATGATTTTATTTTTTGATGATGACCTTGTAATGAAATAGGTAATACATTATATTTAATCCAATAATTACCTAATTTACGAATTACTCTAGATCTATAAATTCTTTTACTATAAATTTCCTCCAATGCTTTCTCACTTGCCTTCATCTGTATTAATCCATCTTTTTTCCAATATGTAAAATATGCATGTATAGACCGGTATCTTAAGTAATCATATATATTTTGCTTTTTATTATTATTCAAAATAATTTGTTCTAATTTTTGTAATTTTTGATTAAAATCACAATCGTTATTATTTTGAATATCATTATCTACACTTTCTTCTAATTCTTGATATGATGTTTCCATCAAATTTAAACTATTTATTTTAACATTCTAATTGTCTAAAAAGTCTATTTCTGAATTACCTTTAGCTAATAAATCATTGTCTTTTATACCAGCTGATGAATCATCTTTTGTACCAACCAATGCATTATTATTACCCTTTGTATCGACCAATACATTATTATCATCTTTTGCACTAATCAATGCATTATTATCATCCTTTATACTGGCCAATATATTGTTATTATCTTTTGCATCAGTGAACATATCATCATTAATATCATCTAATATATTATTAAATTGTTTAATTTAAATCAATATTTATAAATTAATTTTAACAATGATTTGAGTATTTAATAAAAATAAAAAAATATATATTTACCTGTTAAATCTACAATAAGTTCATCTTCAGCTAAGTCTTTCATTGGTTTAAAAAAATTAAAAGAGAACTTGTTTCCTTTGCTACTACAGTAAAACTTTCCTGTGATCCATATTTTCGATAATGTATTGCAATCGAATTGCTAATATATAGTGTTTTTTTTGTTCAATCATCACAGTATCAGTTCATACTAATTTAAATTCAGATAGGCATTACATTCTTTGATCTAAAAATTCTTCAGAAATAGAATCACTATCTTCTGAATAAAAATCATCTGAACTGCTTAATTTAGGGATAAAATCATCATTATTATCATTCTTATATCATTTATTCAATTTAAATTTACCTATTTTATCATGTTTTTACTTCAAAACTTATTTTTGGCTAATCTTAATGCATGTGATAATAGCATAATGAATGAGGATAAACTTTTTCAAAATTTATTTGAAAATGTGTAAATTTAACAAAAAAAAAAATGATAGCAAGCACTAAATTTACATTATACTGAGAGGAACAACTGGAATTCTAAAAATAAAGTTATATTCTAAGTTCATCATATTGATTTCAATTAAAATTTATCTTTTTTTTTAGAGTATTACACAAATTAGAATATTCTCAATTTTGGCATTCATAATTAAATTAGTATAACTTCATTATGCAAAAACTTTGTTTATCATGCATAAAATTTAAAATCTAACTGTAAAAATGATTAGATTTTGATTCAAACTTTCTAATTTATTGGTTAAAATTTTGATATCTTTATTATTGATAAAGTTATACATATTTAAAGGTTGAAAATTCTTATTATAAGAATGTTCCTATTATAAAGATTCTGCACTCTAGCACAAAATAAACATATATATTAACTTCACGCAAGGAGTATATCATGGATTAGTCTTAGCTTCATTTGAGAAAGATGATAAAACCAGTGATACTGATAGAGATAATGACACCTCGATGGTATGAATTTGGCATATGTGAGATATTAACTTTGCAGTAGATCAAAAACAATATAATTTTATATTATGCAATTGTCTTCTATACATCAGTAATGTTTTGGAAATCTGGATCTATAAAAATCTATAAATTTTTATAAAATCTTCAAAGATTTAAAAATTTATGGATTACTTTAAAATCCTTTAATAAACTTTAGGATTTTATTAAATGGCAGATTAGAGATTTATAAGAAAATTATTCAAAAATTTTATTTGTTAAATTAACGAATTTAATACAAAATAATTTAGTTTCAAATATTTATATATAAATATAGCTAACAATATTTACGTAACATATTTCTTGACATCTAGTTATTATAAAAAGATGAAATAAGAATTTTTAAAATTTTAAACTTAATAATTATCAATATACTATATATTAATTTTTCAATTTTTTAATTTTTAAAAAATAACTTATTATCTAATATTCATGAAAATATAAATTTAATTTATTGGATATATTACATTAAGACCTATTAAATAGTAGTAATTTTATATTTTTAAGATTGATAGATAGCAAGATATATAAGTTTAAAATTTTAACTTTTTTTAATAAAAATTTATTATGTATTATCTTTAAAATTACTAGTTAATTATATATTTTTTTAAAAATATTTAAATTAATTTTATTTATTAAATAAAAATTATAAGCGAATTTGCTTACAATATTATTAAAAGAATGATATTTATAATTATTTATCATTATTTTAAAAAAAATATATAAGTTACTAAAATAATTTAAAGTGATTAAATTCTATTTACAATTATATTAATATTACTTCTTTAAACATAATTTTATTTTAGCTATAGATATTATATCTTAAAAATAGTACTATTTAAAGTTTTGTATACAATAAAATAGAACTTTATATCAATATTTTTATAGTTAAAAAAATTATGAAAATAGATCAAAATTTATATATAATATATTATATTAATTATAAACTTTAATTAAAGAATGCATTAGATGTAGTATCAATGATGATTTAATATATTAAAAGTATATATGTAGTAAATTATAATATAATTTACAATTATCATTTTGATCATGATAATAAAAATATAAATTTTATTAGTTTATATTACTAAAAAATTAGAAAAAAAGTGATGTAATATTTCTATAACTTAATATATAGTAAGAATCATAAATATCTAACTGACTCTAATTCTAATTACAATTAAGTAAATTTAAAAAATTTTTATTTAAAATACATACACTGGTCAAAATAATCCAAATTGTAAAAATTCAATTTTCCTTTAAAAGATCAGAATTTTCTCACTTTAATTTTTTAATTTTCTTAGTAAGTTTTTTTTAATTTTTAATTTTCTAGAAAATATATTGTTAATTATAAAATAATTAATAAAAATAAATCAAAAATAATATATCATTGTCTGAATTATTAAGAATCTCAAATTCAACTGCAGTTAAAATACTATATATCACTATATACAGTATTTAGAATATTAATCAAATGTGATTTCAAATTGAATAGTATCCACAAGTATTAAATGAGAAACTGACTACTATTTTAATAAGATAAAATATACAGAAAATACTGTATATAAAGGTTATAATAATACAACTTTAATAAATAAATATCATCTATTATATTAAATAATTCATTATAATATTAACAAATTTTCTTATAATAAAGGCCTAATTAATCTGAATTCTAAATTCATTATATTAAGATTTAATCGTAATATTCTATAAAAATAAATCATAAAATTAGTCTTTTATAAATTTTATGAATGCATTTATTATAAGCGATTAATTTTATAATTATACTCTAGTATTAATTAATTTCAACTTTAAAAAGTATCTAGATACTATTTTTAACTAGGTTAACATGAATAAATGAATAGTATCCAAGTATTAATCATAAGAGGTATTATTTTTGAAGGATACTATATGTAATGATATATAATATTACCATTGATTATCATCAAAATTTTGATGAAAGCTGATTTTCTTATATTGTTTTACATTTCTTCTAAATCTACTTCTATAATTTAAAAATTATTTAATTATTAATATAAAAATAATATATTATAATTAATTTACACTTTAAAGAATTCAGTTTATCATCAAACAATTTTGTATAAATGTGTTTTTATCTTTTCTATTATAGAAAAGCAAAAAAATCAGTTTATTATTTAAAAAATTAACAGATTAATTGATAAATTCAACTTACATTTTGATTAATTTTTTTGCTGATTTTGATTTTTTAAAACATTTTGATAGTTTTAATAATAACTGAGATTCTATTATAAAAAATAAAAAAATTAGTTGATTGATTAATAAAATTCAATTTATATTCTTCTCTTTTATTAGTTGATTTTAATAATTTTATTATTGATAATAATAGTATTTCTATTATAAAAATACAAAATATAGTTTATTATTTAAAAAACAGAACTGAACTGATTGATAAAATTTAACTTATATTTTTCTTCTTCATCAGCTGATTTTGATAGTTGACGTATTTTTAGTATTGATAGTAATTATATTTCTATTATAAAAAATAAAGAAATTAGTTTATTATTTAAAAACTGAACTGATTGATTGTTAAAATTTAACTTATATTCTTTTTCTTCATCAGCTAAGGCCAGTCTAAACAAATAATACATTTAATATAAATATATAAGGTTATGATCTAATGGGAGAGAAAAGGTTGAATAATATTGAATAGTTGAATAAAACATAATTTCAGTCAAAATTATTTTTAAATTTGGTCAGCAAACTGAGTAATCTGTATTTTTATTTATATTTTTATAATATATTAAAGAACTATATTATAAAATATCATCAATAAACTAATTATATCAATTATTATTATTTTTTCTTTTTTAAGTATTAGTTTTAATTTCAACTTTACCAAAAAAATCCTTTCCTGAAGCTTAACAAATATTACATAATGGAAATATAAATTTATATTTAATGTCATATATATTAGAATATCTACTAACCCTTGATCATATCTGCATCAATAATATATAGATATATAGTTTTTTCGTGATAAATAATAAGCTAATTCTATTAGTGTTTCACATGTGATTTTTTCATATGTATATAAAATATTATACAATATATGATCCTTAGATACTAAAGGTGATCTATAACTATAGTTTCAATTACTGATAATATATTGAAATTCAGTCTTTTGCATAGTTATTAATGTCTTTTCACTATAAAGACACTGAAATTTTTCATATTGAAAGTATTGAATAATATTACAAACTTTAATATTTGTTAAAATAACTGATGGTGCTTTTTCTGCATTTTTTATAAATGATATTAAGGTAGGATAAAATTGTTCAGTTATTTCAGTACAATATATGCTTTTAAATTCTTCATAACAGTTATTGTTAGCTAAAGTTTTATATACAAATAGATAATTATATTAATATAAATAGATTAAAGCAAAATATATTAATAAAATATATCATACTTACATTTTGATGGAATAGAATTTGGTAAAAAATCTATATTTTTAAAAATATGAGAAAAAAGTCAGATTGGTTTACAAATATTACAATTAATATTATTGTATTTCTTAATCTATAAAATAAACTTAATTGTTATAAATTTATTCTATAAATAATAAATTATTAAAAGAAAAGTTTGAATTTACTTAAAATAAATAATAACAAATTTTACAATGTATTTTAAGAAATTTTTAAAGATCTTTCTTTTTTAATAATATTTCTGTAGTTATTTCAGTAATTCTTAATAATTTATCAATTTCAAGAATAATCTGTTTAAATTTTTTAATTATTAATATTAAAATATATAAAACCTAAATTAATATTTAAAATCAAATAAAATACCTTAAAAAAATCATTAATATTATAATTATTTGCAGGATCATAACACTGAAAAGGATTTTCATATAATACTAATCTTTCAGTTTATGAATGTAACAACTCTTGAACATTAAAGATATAATCATTAACCTATTTTTTAAATTTATATTTTTATCTGCAGCTATACAAATTTTCTTTAATATATTAGTTTTTTTGAATATATCTTCTAACTCTATACTTATCA